ATAATAATAAACATGCTGTATCAACCAAGTCATCTTCTTCGGTAGTACGTAGTAGATTGCATCAAATGTTGGTTGGTACTGGCACAGTAGTTGGTGGAGTTGGAGCAGCTGTATCCGAAGAAAGTATGAAATCATTGAAATACTGTCTTCAATGGTTACATTATGCGAACCAGCATATTGAACATCAAATCACAGTATTACGAGAGTTTATTGTTAATCTAACCAAACAAGCATCATCATCATCGTCAGGAGCTCTGATAAATACGTCAGCAACTTCAACTCTATCATCGATAAAACGTGAAGTGGTTGAAACTCTACGTAAAGTGATTGAAGTAGTTAGTAAATATGCATGTTTACCGGATCAAGCGAGAGCCAAAGTGAGAACATTCATACTAAATTTACCGAGTAAATGGGCAAACGTTAATCGCACCGGTGATCATTCCACTACGCCATCACCAATGTCATCACCAGTGTTAGCGCCTACCGCAACAAATACACATCCAGCCACTAATGCAATTCGATTATTAAGTCTCGCGACTGAATCACTCGAGATGTTGAAAGCGGTTGCTAATATTTTCTCCGATACAATCGCGAGTGCTGAAGCCTGGGTGGCAAGATTAAGAGCTGTAGGTGTAACAAGTGGAGGAGCTGCCGCGGTTGGTGAAATACAATTCGATAATATTCCACAGTTACCCCCCAGATGGCCATCTCAACAACAAAATGGATATTATAAACCAGACACTACTGTGACCACCAATGGAATCGATCGTAAACATCCACATATTGACGATGATGATGACGTTAATGATGTTAACGAGTATTCTTCTTCCGAATCTGAAGAAGAGGATATGCGTATGCCAATGGATAATATTAATCTAAAATCACATGCTCGTCAAAATGGAATATTCTCAACCAGTAAAAGACCAAAGAAATCAATTAATGATGATGACGATGATGAAGAAGATGAAAATATGGATCTTTCTCCTTAATAATATTATTTATTATTTCCCCTTTGCAAGTTTTTATGATACATTTCTATGTTGGACCCTTCCATCATCATTCACCACTATCTATCACATATAAACTCTTCTTTTCGCTGCCTGCGCTTTTATTCATCATAAATAATTGACTTTATCCCTTATATACGTACATTTTTGGCCAGCATAAATAATCGAAATGTATAGATTTACATAACAAAAAAAAAGCGGGTACTTTTTGAATTTTGCCACACAATTTATTGCTTATTCGCATGTGAACACTTAACACGGCACCACATTTTTGCATCATTAATATTTATATATATTCACTCTCCTATCAATTCACACGTATACATACAAAAAAACCACTTCGATCGATCATAATGATGAAGACTACGATTATTATTATTATTAGTAGTATATATAATATAGCGTTGTATCTTGTAAATTTCCATTGTTCCCTTTCTAACATTCGTCATTCGCTCTTCGCTTTATATATATATAAAAAACGATGTCGATGTATTGAACAAATAGTTTATGGTTATTATCATCATCATCATCATTATTATTATTAATTATTATTATTATTATTATTATTATCTATCGTCATAGTAGGTTAAAATTTTGGAATAAATCTCTCAAATGTATCAATCTCCGATTTGATATACATAAAAACAATTTTTGGCTTATTTTGGATTATAACCCTTTTTTTGGCATTCTTTTTCTATTAAAATCAAATCAAAAAATTTTATATTTTTCTTTTTCTGTTTGGGGGGAGGGGTTTTTTTTGGATTATTATCATTTTTGGTATGTGGCTTTGTATTTCGCAGCACGTCCAGTATTGAAAGAAAAAGTAAAATTTACTAAAAGTTCATTTTTTTCTCTAATATTTCAACCATGAACATCAATATCAATCAAATTGATCTACTTGTATACATAGGTTCCCTTTTTCTTTCCTTTTAATAATACCATTCATTCACTCACTGCTCGACCGTCATTATATGAACAGCAATTAAATTAGTATGTGCTGTCGTCTCTCTTTTTATTCTTCACGAATTATTTATTACTATATTTAAATACGTATTTTTCTATATTATTCTATTTATTTGTTAAAGACGATGATTCTTTTAGTCCACAAGGAGAAAAATATTTTTTTCCTTCTCTTTAATTGCCGCCGCATCATTACAATAAATTCCTCCCCACTCTCCTCTAAATCTAACAATAATTATAATTTACTATTACTAAACATGCACAATGAATGACCTAATAAATGCTAATCGGTATTATAAAATGATTTGAATGATGGTTTTCGTTCTTATTCCCAAATAAAGGAAAGGAAAAGTACAATTTTCATTTCGTTGATAATTTTCGGATCTGATGTTGGGTAAGTAATAAAAAAAAGTTTGCACCAAAAAAAAAATTAATTAAAAAAAATGTTGTAACCCAGATGTGGCACACACCTGGGCTATTTAGGATTAAACGAATCCGAATGACCTATACTGATTATAATGTATGAGAATTCAAGTGCTTTCTAGCTTTAAATACTTCAAGGAGGAGAAAAAAACCGCCCAAATTTATCGTTATCACTTTTATCAAGATTAATCGTAGAAAGGCAACAAACCTGCTGCTCAAGCTATTCTCTTTGCAACATTTAAAATGGTCATTATTTTAAAGAAGACACCCATTTTCTACTTTATCTATCCTTCTGGTGGGATTTGCCACATCGCCACACCACGTGCCACAAACTCATGACTTTGTGCATTTTTCCGGGGTAATAAGGCAAAGCATCATCATAACGACATGTACTAACGCATAGTTGGTTGATAGAATTAACGTCGTCAACATGTCACAAGTACTTTTTATTTGGCTGTTGTATTCATTTTTCTCAAGTCAACTAACAACTATCTATCGCAAAATCCGAGGACACCATCAAGGCTAAATGCAAGAGTATGGTTTCTTACGAAACAGAAAAAGACGTATCTCGCTTATATAACGGCAAACAAAAACCAAAATCCTCTTACCCAGAAGTAATGTATAACAACAATTTCACCCACGAATATGGTTACGAAAATTATAGAGCAGCTTCTCCTACAAGTCGTCCCAGAGCTCGAAGTTCTCTCTCACAACATCCTCCTTCACCATCACAATACCCAGAACAAATAGAATATCGTTATTCACAATTCAACAATACCCAACACTCTCATCACTCGCAGTCTCATTATCAACAATATCAAAATCTCGCACAGCTTCCTTTACACACACATCCCCAACAAAATGTTAGTCAAGATACAGAGCATGCAACAGATTACACCGAGTTCCAAGAGCAAACACTCCCCCATTATAATGGATTTTCACAATCTTCACAGCAAATTTCAACATCATCACAGCCGCGACAACCTCCTTACGCTTATCAAAAGTATTACGAACTTGCACCTGTGATTGCAGTTCAACCTGCTTCTGAACGATTTTCCGCTGGACAACGTACACTTTCTTTGACCTCAAACTCTACACTGCCAAGTGGAAGGAGATCTCCTCAATCATTCATAACTGAAGCACCACCTCCACAAACCAAATCCATTTCAGGCACGCGAGTTTCATGATTTTATGGTCTATCAGAAATTGCTATTATGCTGATTTTTAGAGTTGGCAAATTAAGGGGAATTGACTCATTTCTGTTTGTTCTTTCAATTGTACAATATATAGCTGCAGCAAATCTAATTATACCGAAAGATCCTGAAAAAAATCCAATACATACTAGGCGATCAACTGACAGTGTTCGCGAAAAATCTAAACCTAACCATGCGATAAAAAGTTCTGAACGACAACGATCTTTCTCATATTCGGATGTTTCACCATTGATTTCAGATATATCGAATCCTCCATCTCCATCAACTAAGCAACGTGCTCCAGTTGTCTATCCTGCCTTATTATCACGGGTTGCCGAAGCGTTTCAAAAAAATATTGTACTTTCAACTAATAAAAAAGATGATCTTGAATATAAAGGAAGTTTTGATGGAAGAGAAGCGGTTGTATGTACATTTATTTTGATTATGGAATATTAACTAGTAAGAAAAATAGTTTACTAAAACGATCTATTATTAATCTTAATCAGGATATTATTGCATATATTATAAAAACAACTGATAGAAATTTGGCATTATTACTCGGACGAGCTTTAAATGCACAGAAATTTTTTCATGATGTGACATATGATCATCGTCTACTAGACTCTCACAATGAGTTATATCAGTTTCAGAGGATGCCTTCATTTTTGGCAGCTTCAGATGATTATGAAACCACAGCGGAACAACAAAAGGAAGATTTTATAGAAGAAAATGATCTACCTAATGGGGTATTTACACTTCTAACCGATTGTTATTCACCCACTTGCACAAGAGAGAGTGTCTGTTATAGCGTGTCATGTCCGCGAAGATTAGAACAGGTAATACCCATTATTAAGAATATATTTTAGTTTTTTTTTTTTACTGTAAATTTTTAATGCTTAGTTTTTTTTAGAAAGCTCGTATAATGAAAGCAAAACCAGATTTGGAGCGTTCTCAGGTAATCTCTTTGGAAATTTTTGCTTATGATCATAACTCATATAGTGAATTTATTATGCTCGCCAAACTTATAATTGGTCAAAGAATGATAAACAAAAATAGAGAATGCTTAGTTGCAAAATGAAAACGAATATTTTATTAATTAATTGTGTTGATCGCCTTGACCAATTAACACTTGATTTATGTTCTGAACAATTAAATCTTAATTTGACGGGATTATGCGAGAAATTTCAATTAAGAGTTACTGTATAAGTTATAATCATAATCATCCTCTTATTAATTATGTTTTTGATTATTGTACTAATATAAATTGGAAATTTGACTATATATATATTTATTTATTGATTTATTTATTATATTAATTTTATAGGATCATAAATTATGGATTCATTCAGTTTCTCCTGAGATTGCTAACTCAGTATCAGAAAAAGAAAAAAAACGGCAAGAAGCGATCAATGAAGTTATCTATACCGAAAAGGACTTCGTTCGTGATTTAGAGTACCTTAGAGATGTATATTATTAAATATTTTTTAATTGGGGGGGGGGGGGGTTTTTAAGTGTTACAAACTAATATAATATTAATATAAAAATTATTAAAGATATGGATGAAACCACTTCTTTTTCAAAATATTGTCCCTGAAGAACGGCGCGAAGAATTTGTCACCCAAGTTTTTCATAATGTATTGGATATATTCGAAGTAAATTCAAAACTTGCTGATGCATTACAAAAACGACAGAATACATATGCAATCGTGGATCAAATTGGGGATATATTCCTAGAATTTGTACCTCGATTTGATGAACCTTTCATTGAATATGGTGCTCATCAGTTGTTGGGTAAATATGAATTTGAAATGGAAAAAAATGATAATCCAGCATTTGCTAAGTTTGTTGAGGTAAGAATCAATAAATTAGTCATTTAAAACATTAAAACTATATATTGATAATATTGATAAAAAATGACTACTCTAAATTATTCTTATATTATATAATAGGATACTGAACGTCGCCCAGAATCTCGAAAACTAGAGTTGAATGGATATCTTACTAAACCAACCACACGCCTTGGACGATACCCTCTACTACTTGAAGCTGTGCTTAAACAAACACCCCCAGAGCATCCGGATCAAACAAATCTTACCAAAGTCATAAATATCATTAGAGAAATATTAACGAATGTTAATATTGAATCAGGAAAATCTGAAAATCGATTTAATTTGCAACAATTAGATAATCAATTAAAAGGAAGTGAATATTATACGGTAACTACTAGGATAAATATCATTTATTTGTGTTTTTTGTTAAAAATAGTTTAATATACAATTTATTATATGCTAGGAGTTGAAATTAACTGAGCCTGGAAGACAACTAATCTATAAAGGCACAATGAAGAAAAGATCTGGTGCAGGGGAATCATCTGATCTTCAAGTTTTCTTGTTCGATCATGCTTTATTGATGGTGAAAGCAAAAAAAAAAGAACAATATAAGATCTATCGAAAGGTAATTCATTTACAAAAATAACATTGTCATTTTATAAATATTTATATTTATCATGGATAAATTTTTCCTGGAAGCCGATACCTCTAGAATTAGTTACCACATCAATAACTGAAAATAACATTGATTCTATTCAAAAAATTCCCAAACGACCACCTTCGATACTTCCCGCCGGTGTAAACAATGTTCGTGATAAACAATATGCATTGACCTTTACCTGCATAGGAAAGAAAGGATTTTCAGTTACATTATACGCGTCTACAGCTATAAGTCGTAGTAAATGGATAGAACACATTGAAAAGCAACAACAGCTTTTGCGTGATCGAGGTCAAGTTTTCGAGAAAGCTACTTTGTTGGAGGGAAAATACTTCGTTGGCACAAATAAAGTTAATTGTGCTGCTTTTTTTGGTAAGTTATTTTCTATAGCTTTACATTTTGAACTTGAACGAACTTACTTAACTTATTGTCATACTTTTGATAGATGATTATCAAAAATTAGCACTGGGTACGGAGGAAGGTGTATATGTTGCAGACATTGGACATAGTCCAAAACCACCTATTCAGGTTTTACATTTAGAAAAAGTATCTCAAATTGCGGTATTAGAAGAATTTCGATTGCTTTTAATTTTGGCTGGTAAAATTTTCTTCAATTACATAATAACATCGTATTTTATTATTACATTACGTCTGATCAAAATTTTCATACGATATTTTATTATAAATAGATAAAACATTCTATTGGCTTCCAGTTGAAGCTTTGGACCCTGAAGACACAAATTCTAATAAGAAACCGCGTAAGATCACTTCGAATGCAAGTTTCTTCAAATATGGCGTAAGCTTGGGTAAAACATTAGTTGCAGTGGTTAGAACTGCCGGTTTGGCGCAATCAATTATAAAGACATTTGAACCAATTGAACTAAGCGCCAAGAGTAAAACAAAAAATCCCATGATAAAAACCCTTTTGCGTGGAGGAAATGAAGCTCTTAAAGTACATAAGGTGCATATTTTTTCAATATTCATCTGACAATCTATAAATAGTATTATATCCATAATTGATAAATTAAATGAATAATTTTTGCAGAGCTTCTATATACCCCGTGAATCAACATCAATACATTTTTTGAAAAAAAGTCTGTGTGTAGGATGCACAAAAGGATTTGAGATTATAGACATGGAATTTTTTGCAACGCAAGCTCTATTAGATCCTGCTGATGCTTCTCTAGATTTTGTTCAAAAGAAAGAAAATGTCAAACCAATTGCGATATTTAGAATTCCCAATAGTGGTGGAGATCTCTTATTATGTTACGATGGTTAGGCATATTTTTTTGTCTTTTGTTGCTTATGTGTGTTTACATATAAATTCTTATGATTTCAAATTACTTTTAACTTTTAGAATTCGCTTTTTATGTAAATAAAGTGGGATGGCGATCTCGACATGACTGGCACATAACCTGGGAAGGCGCGCCGACTTCTTTCGGTAAATATAAAAAGATTATTATCAATAATTAAACATTACATTTATTTTCATTTTCTTTCATCTTCAAATAGCTTTTCGAGATCCTTATCTATTAGCTTTTGAGCCTTCATTTATCGAAGTTCGAAACGTGGAAACAGGTTTATTGGAACAAATAATTGAAGGTCACAATTTACGCTGTTTATATTCCGATAATCGAGGCAATATTTTAGTTGTGACAAATGATCCTACAAGTGATTGCTCTGAAGTTTTTTCATTAAATTTGTCCGATGACCGAAGAAGCTCACTACTTTCTGAGGCTACCAGTATTGCAACTACAATTGTTGCACCTGAAGAAAGTGGGAATCATGGCAGATTGGACTCTGCAGAATGATCCAAAGTGGTGTAAACAATCTTTTGTACTGGATAATTTTATATATCCATCCTCATCCCGTCCATCTTTTAATTATTCCAATTTTTTTTTATAATTTTTATTTATTTATTTACGTTTGTTGTTTGACTTCTTTTTCCGTATAGAAGATATTTATTAATAATCACTCCATTTTAATTTCAATTGTATTTACTACTCAAAAAAGATTCGAATATGCAACTTTGTATAAAATCTAAAGAACAAGCACTGTATAAACATGGAATTTAGTGCAGAGCTCTTAATTACCTTTATTATTATTATTATTATTATCACTAATATTACTATTTAATATTAATACTTTTATATTTTTTCACTTATTATAATGAGATGTCTTTAATATGTATTTTATTATATTGCTGTTCAGTCTATAATTTCATTAAATTAAATATTGTGTTATGCTAGAGAGAGCAATCGTCATTAATAGAAAATTGTACTTCAGTTTTTTACTAGCTACATGTATTAGAAATTTAATGCATGACATTGTAATGCATTTTTGCCGATTGAAAGACTTTATCCTAATACTAATAATGTATTAATATGATAATGAAAAGAAGCAGGAGAAATTAGAAATATTAAAAAGCAGCATGATAATTTTGCGTGATCGAGGTCTGTATTAGAAGAGTTTCGATTACTTTTATTTTATGTCATTATGTCTGATCAAATATTTGCTTATAAATAGATAAAACATTCCAGTTGAAGCCTTGGACCCTGAAGACACAAATAATGCTAATAAGAAACCGCGTAAGATCACTTCGAATAAATATGACTTATGCTTAGGTAAAATATTAGTTGCCGTGGTTAAAACTACCGGTTTGGCGGAATCAATTATAAGGGACATTTGAACTAACTGAACAGAAAATCTTTTTTGTGATGGAAATGAAGCGCTTAAAATATATAAGGTTCATATTTTTTCAATATTCATCTAACAATCATAAATAATATTATATCCGTAATTGATAAATTAAATGAATAATTTTGCAGGACCTCTATATACCTCATAAAACAATATCTGAAAAAGAGGCTCTGTGTAGGATGTGCAAAAGGATTTAAGATTATAGACATGGATTCTCTTGCAACTCAAGCTCTATTAGATCCTGCTGATGCTTCTCTACATTTTGTTCAAAATAAAGAAAATGTCAAACCAATTGCGATATTTAGAATTCCCAATAGTGATAGAGATCTCTTGCTATGTTACGATGATTAGGCATATTTGTTTTGTCTTTTGTTGCTTATGTGTGTTTACATATAAATTCTTATAATTTCAAATGATTTTTAACTTTTAGAATTCGCTTTTTATGTAAATAAAGTGGGATGGTAATCTCGACATGACCTGGGAAGGCACGTCGACTTCTTACGGTAAATATCAAAAAATTATTATCAATAATTAAACATTACATTTATTTTCATTTTCTTTCATCTTCAAATAGCTTTTCGAGATCCTTATCTATTAGCTTTTGAGCCTTCATTTATTGAAGTTCGAAACGTGGAAACAGGTTTATTGGAACAAATAATTGAAGGGCAAAATTACGCTGTTTATATTTCGATAATCGAGGTAATATTTTAGTTGTGACAAATGATCCTTCAAGTGATTGCTCTGAAGTTTTTTCATTAAATTTGACCGATGACCGAAGAAGCTCGCTACTTTCTGAGGCTATGGTGCAATTCATCTAAAATCAAAAATGTTTGTATTTTACAAATTTTAATAACTTCTTAAATAAGAAGTAAATTTAATCCATGAATATGATAAAGAAAGACTTATTTTATCATATTCATGGATTAAATTTTGAATTTACTTCTTAATTAAAAAGTTATTACTAGAATGCAAATATTTTTGATTTTAGATGAATCGCACCTACTAGTATTGCAACCACAATTATTGCACCTGTAGAAAATGAGAATCATGGCAAATCGGACTCTGCAAAATGATCTAAAGTGGTATAAACAATTTTTTGTGGATAATTTTATACATCCATCCGCCCATCTTTGTTTTATCATTAATTCAGTTGCATTTATTCAAAAAATTCAATTTGTATAAAATCTAAACGAGCACTATATATATATATATATATATATGAACTTAATATTAATATTAATTTTCATATTTTTTATCTCCTTATAGTACCTAAAAATAACTACAGGAACTATTATAAAGGTTAGAACCCTTTAATATCTTTTGTATCAGATTCATGAAATATGCCAGGAAATTTTTTTGAAATATCCAGTCCTTTATTATAAAATTCCATATCTAAATAATAATCAATAAGAAAACTTGATTTTTAAAATTCAAGATTAAGATTCGTAAAAAGTATACTTACCAAATTCATCATTAAATTGGATTACTGTATATTCTTGAAGGGTGTTATCGCGGTTGAGACGTCCGGTGACTTCTACAAATGTACATTGGTAGTATTGCGGATTCTGAATTGATATATTTTTTAATTAGTAAAATAATAGAATTAAAATTAGCAATTTAAACTGCTTTTCTTTTTTACCGTAATCTTGACAACTAATTCTCCTCCATCACACATTTGTAATTTCGCCGTTCCTGATTCAACCTTTAATAATTATATTCAGTATCAAGAATCATAAATATCATTAATAGCAAGTGCGTATATAAAATTACCCCCAGCACTCTTCCAACAACGCGAACTGTAGAACCCAAATATGTATTCATTGTTGCATAAGAAATGGGGGGCACCGTTTCCTGGCTTGTGTAAGAGCGAGAAGGTCGTGAAAGTGCTTGCGAAGAATTGTAATTGGCTTCCTGTTTGGCATAGTTTTCTGAATCTATTTTCGTCTGTTTCGGTTGAGATTGCGACGAATAAGAATATTGATTCCTGAATGTTTGCTGTTGATTTGGCTGTTGTTGTGATTGTTGCTGCCATGAAATTTGATTTCTCGAAGCATTTTGCTGTTGAAATGGGATTTGAGGTGGTGGTCGTTGCTGCTGCTGAGTTTTCTGGGGAAAGGGAAACGAATTTTTAGAACTATTACCAAAGTTCATTGTGGAATTAATTTCCTGAGTAGTATGACGCGGATGATTAATTCCTACAACTTTTGATAGACGCGCGTTTAAATTATGCAGTCTTGTGAACTAATCATCTAAAAAATGAATAAACGAATAAATGATTAAGGACCTCAAAATTAAAAAAATTAAACCATTCTAACTTCTCGTTTATAAAAAAAACCAAATAAATTTCCGAATAAGAATCTGAAACATGAGGTAATTTGAAATTACCTCAATAAATGTTTATTTGATTTGCTTCTTGCTGAACAATAATTATTTAATCAATAGCAGTCTAACAGGAAAGTCAAAATCTGAAATGACAGAAGAGGAGCTCAAGCAACTTGAGGAACTTGAGTTCAATACGGGTCCTTTATCAGTATTACAACAGTCAGTTAAGAATAATACACAAATTTTGATTAATTGCCGGAATAATAGAAAATTACTTGCGCGTGTTAAGGCTTTTGATAGACATTGTAACATGGTGTTAGAGAATGTCAAAGAGGTATTTGAATATTACGGAAAGCGAATTTTTTCAATTAAACTTTGCGTTATTTTTTAAAGTTGGCTATAATTATTGTCTAAAATAGAATCGATCCTTTTATTGTAGATGTGGACGGAAACACCAAAAACCAATAAAGGTAAGAAAGCGAAACCAGTTAACAAGGATCGATTCATCAGTAAGATGTTTTTACGTGGAGATTCCGTGATCCTTGGTAAGCAATTTATCAAATTAATTAATTATTTTCTACTAAAATAATTTATTAATTAATATTTCTAATTTAGTACTTCGAAATACAGTGTAAATATTTGAAAGAAATACATATGCGTGTGTATACACTAGTGTTGCATGCCGTAATATTTTAATAAAAGTTGCAATTTTTTGACTTAAAAATTGTAATTTTTGCCGTAATTGATGTAATACTAGTAATTAGTATAATAGTTGTAATTTTTGTAAAATTTGTAATTGATGCATTATTCGTAATTTGTGTAAAGCTCTCAATTAATATTTGTACAAAATAATGAAATCCGTAATAATAATTTCAAATACGGCCTCTTTGGGGCTCAATATCTCGAGATCCGGCGGCGGGAAATTCACCATTTGATTCACCAGAACCCAGGGAATCAAATGATCAGCTTTATACTCGCTTCCCTCGAGATATTTGAGCCCCAAAGAAGTTGTACATAAAATTGTTCGTCAAAAATAAATCAGAATTCCACGTACGGCCTCTTTGAAGCTCAATTCTTAACACTGGGTCTCGAAATATCAGTCACACGATTTGTCACACGTAAAAATTAAGCATATTATGTCGATCGATCTAATAAATCGATTAATCATACATGTGAATTTTTTGTCCAAAGTCTTAGCCAAAACGCATAAAGTTCCCTAAAACAAAATTATTGTTGAGGTTTCTACGAACAGAGCAGTGCAAAGATCGCGAATCTCCCTGTAAAGTGAAACGCCTTCTGCCTATTTTTGCTAGATTATTCTTCGGTTCACAAATTCTTGCCATAAAAAGTGATTCACCAGACGCGCCCAAACAATAACCATCTAAAAAGTTTTACCTTAAGGGGTTAGTACATTACAAACATGTGGAAAATCTGTTTCATGATATAGTATAAATAACAGCATTTCTTTTAATTAACAAAAATTTTTTTTATGATTATTAGAAAGTATCTATTTGGTCAAATATAAGTTGAAATGTATGCAAGGTTTAAAATTCCTTATTCATTTAGACAAATGCTAATTGTCATTCTTAACTGGTACTTCAAGATTTAACTGAATAAAAAAGAAGATAATATAAAAATAATTTGCTTTGGATTGTATAGATTCTAACACAATATTTAATTCAGATTCATCTTAAAATATATTTTTTTTTGATCTCTTATATTAGTTATATTATTAATCTTGAAATTGTTTTAATATTTAATAATTAGCATATTATGATAACTTTTCTATTAGCTAATTGATAACTTTTTAGATAATATAATAGAATTTTTATATATTTCAAGTTATTTCAGATATTATTTTTTAATTTTTGTAAATTTATGTTTTGTTGAATGTGATGTTTGAAATATAAATTTAGTAGATTAATTTCAAATAATAATATTAATTACAAGTTTTCTTTATTAATTTTTTTAACTTTTATATTAATTAATTCTGAATTAATTTTTTTAACTTTTATATTTTCTGCTTTTATTCTTATTTCTGATATGCAGTTAGTCTTCTTTTTTATTGATTTTATAGATATTAGATTTTATTTATCTCATTCTGCTTTTATTTAAGGAATAGTATGATAAATATCTTGCTTAATAATAATAATTATTCTTTAATTTCTAATTCATAATAAGTAAATATTTATTGAAAATTAACATTTATCAATTATATAACTTCTATAAATAAGAGATATAATTCTGATTATAAGTTATTAAATCTTACTTTGAGTTTAGTAATTAATTTTCAAAAAGCTTTTTAATAATTCTTAACAGATCATGAATTTTTATTTATTAATTAATCTTTAGCAAATTCTAAATCAACAAATTAAATTAATCATATTATTATCATTTTAAAGTTTATGCATATATAAATATTTTAAAATAATAAGAGTAATTATATTTATAGTAATTATTTATTTTTATAATTTCAAAAGATTATATGATCAATTATCTTCTCAATAAGATAATATATAAAAGTTTTACTTTTAATAAAATACTTTCTTAATAGAGCAAAAAGAAATTAAGATAAAATATATAATAAAATATGTATATTTATTAAAGAATAATACTAATTAATTACTCTTAACTCAGTAGCTAATTCTTTTTATTAAACTTAATTATTCTTCTTGATCACTTCTTAATTCTCTATATATAATATTTTCTTGTTATGCTAATTATAAATTATTTCTAATATAATATTTTATCTAATTTACTCAAGAACAAGTAGAATTTCAAAAAAATAATTATAAAGAATATTAAATATATGATAATTAAGAATTAAAATTAATAAACTATTAGAATATTCAGAATTAAAGTGAGAAAAGAAAAAAAAATTAATAATAATTAATTAGAAAATTATTAATTTAATAAAATTATAAATTAGATATGATATATATGACTAAATTAATAAAAGAATAAGACTAAATATAGATAATAAAATAAATTAAAAATAGAATTAATAATAAATTAAATTAATTAATATAAATTTTTTATGTATCTAATTTAGTAATAATTGATAATTACTATATCATATACTATAATTATATTACATGCTATGTCATATTTATTATATCACGTAATTAGATAATTAGTTATAGAATTTCTGATTTTAAGAGATTTACTCTATAAATTTTTTAATTATTATTAATAATAATTACAATTTCAAATTATTAAACTCAATATATAACTTTAAGTAATTATTATTATATGAATTCTTCAAGATTTTTTTATTTTTATTTTTGAGTTTATAGACTTCTTTTCATAAATTTTATGAATATAAAATGATTCTTTTTATTTTTTATCAAATTTATCATGATATTAGTATTAAGTTTCTATTCATTTTATTAATACTTTCTGTCTTATTTGAAAAATTAATAACTTTTATTTTTTGTCATATTATTCTTTTTGTTTTAATTATTTCTCTTAGATATTACTAAGAGCTAGTTCTCATATAATCTTTAGTTTATTAATTAGTTTATATATTCTTTTGACAAGAGCTTCTTCAAAAATAAGATTATCAAAATCTTTTAATTCAATATTTAATAATATAATTACTTAGTAATTATATATTAGTTAAAAAGATTCAAATAAAGTTATACCTTGTTTTATTATTCTATAAGCAAATAAAACTAAAGATAAGTAATAATCTTAATCTTTTTTGTAAAGTTAAACATACTTTGATAATGAAGTTTAATTTAATTTTTCAATTAATTTATTAGTTTGAGAATAATATAAAACAGAAAGTCTATACTTGATTTGATATTTTTCTAATAGTTTTTTAATTATTTTATTAACAAATATAATTTCTCTATTACTAAGTATTTCTTTTAAGAATTTATATCTTATTATTCTATCTTCATAAAGAAATAAAATAATTAAAGTTACAAAAGTATTTATAATAAATCTTGCTTTAGTCTATTTGATCAAATAGTCTATGGCAACTATAATATAATAGTTTTCTTTACTGATAACTGAAAGAGATTCTATCAAGTCAATTCTAATTTTTTCAAAAGATACATTTACTTGAATTGATATTATCTTATTATTCTTGCATAGTTATCCTTTTCATTAGTATATATCACAAGCTTTAATATATGTATCTATATCTTTATATATCTGAGATCAATAATAATTTCTTATTATTCAATTATAAGTAGTTTTAATTTCAAAGTATTCAGATATAATATTAAAATAATTATTATAAAAAACTAATTTAACTTCTGTTAATTTGATAACTAATTATAGATGATTAATATTTAATTTATTTCTTTTATATAATTTATTATTTTATATAAAATATTTTTTTGATTCTGTTAGCAGCCATTTTTATTTTTTCTTTGAGAATTCATTAAATATTATTAATATGTTAAGATAATTATCTAAATTTATATTTTGTTATTTTCTTCTTTAGATATGAGTGATATTTTAAAAAGTGAATCAATATTTAAATAGATTCTATCAGATTTATGTTCAACTTTAAAATTATATTCTTGTAATATTATTATTCAGCATACTAATCTTTCATATAAATTTGACTTATTAATAAATACTGAATGATTAATGATTAATATGAATAAAATATTGGATAATAAAAAAGATCTGAATAATTTGATTAACTAAATTACTTCAAGACATTCCAGTTTTGTTGTACTATACTTATTTTCTTCTTTATTTACTCTTTTATTAATATATATAATAATATATTTCTTTTTTTATTATCATACTATACCAATATAATATCTAATCCTAATCCAGAAGTATTAGTAAAGAGAATGAAAGATCTTATAAAGTTTGAATAAGTAATAATTAGTGATAAAATCAAATATTTCTTGAATAATTCAAAAGCTTTTTGTTAATTTTTTATTTATTTAAATTCTTTATTCTTTTTAAATAACTTATATAAAGAAGTTGCTATTTTGGTAAAGTTTTTGATAAATCTTCTGTAATAGAAGATGAGTCTTATAAATTCTCTCAGAAAAGTGATATTGATCAGAACTGGAAATTTCTGTATTTTTTCTATCTTAGCTGAATCAGAACAAATATTATCTTTATCAAGAAATTTTTGAAGATGATTTATATTGATTTTTATTATTAGTTATATATTAATATATATTAAAGTCATTGATATATATCAAAATAAATATTTGATATATATTAATATATATTAAAGTTATTAATATATATTATTTAATAAAGTATATTATTATTTAATAATATATATCATTAAATATCATTATTTAATAATATATATCATAAATATTATTATTTAATGATATAAATTTGTTAAATATTATTATTTAATAATATAGATTATTAAATATTATTATTTAACAGTATAAATTTGTTAAATTAACTAATTCATTAAATATTATTATTTAATGATTTTTATTATTAAATTCAGAATTCTTTATTATTAAAATGAAAATCTATTTAAGAAATGTATTATTTTAAATATAATTCTAATAATTCTTAACTAATTAATCAATATTTTCATCTTTACTCTTTGTAAATAAGTTATTTATTATGTGAAAATTATATGTTTCTTGTTAAATAGCATTATCATTTATATTATCATCATCTTTATCATCTT